GCAAGACCGGTCATATTGAAAAAAAGATATTATTCTTTTTTTCTTCCACCTATCACTGCCGTGCATACCATTTAGAAATAAAGTGATCGGGCTGGAAAATCCTGATCAATAGTGGAATTCTCCTGAAGACTGGACTGGTCTGGCCAGGCAGTTCTGACAAATGTGGTAAGCGTCTTGAAACAAAGAAACTCTAAAGAGCCAAATTTTTATTCGGTCGTTTGTTTGCGGTCTGGGACTCGAGACATAAATTTTGGCGCGAAATTTCAGCGTTAATTTGTAATTTCACATGTGAAATTACAAAATTGCCTTGGCAACCCTTCCGTACGTCTCAGTGTCAAGATGGCGACGAAGTTTTAAAATGCGGTGAATGAACATGTCAGGGCACAAAAAGACGCTTTAGAAAACCTGAACTCACAAGAGAACATCAAGAAGGATTCTAACAGGTATTTTGCCGAAAAAGTCTGAAAAATTCTGAACTTTATAAGCCAAATTTAAGGTCTAAACACTTGAGAGAGTGGAGTTCTCGATCGATACCATCCAGGATAAACATAAAACATGTCAAAAATCCAAGATTGCTAACGTAATTCGTCACCCATGATATAAACAGGTAATCAACTGGTATAATTTCACGCACGTTTTGTCCAAGTCCTAATAATTTCCCGAGCCCTTAGGTTTGATTACACATACTAATTCACCATTTTCAAAAGTGCCAAGGAAAATCAAATACAACGGTTATGCAAAACTTTGGGGGTAAACAAGGTACATTTATTGTGGTCCATGTAAAAAAAAGATCAGGACACGATAACAAAAAATATATACTTACGGGTTGCTTTAAAATGTGCTCTGAGACCGCGACCTTGGTTCCCATCCCTGCCACTAATAAAGAAACTGAACTTAATCCTCATATACCTTCCAGCTGAATAAACAGAAAACTGGTTACCAGAACCAGCGTTGAAAATCATCTCGTCATGTGCGGACTGGCCATCACGTACTTCGACGCTGCCATGGGTTCCAACGGCTTCATATAGTGAATGTTCGAACGTTAGGTTCACCATATTGCCAGTAGAAACAGAGATCACCCAAGTACATGACCTCGTGCCGATTGCGTTTGCATACGGATTGGGGTAATTTGGGCCAAACAGAGTGCCTGAAGAACCATGGAGCCACTGCACCTTACTGTCGGAAAATGGTGGACTGCAGATCGTCTCTGTGTGAATAATAAGAGAACAATTATAAAATGTTTATACTCGGTTAACAAATGAACAACTAAAGAACCAAAGAACAAGAATCCGAAGCAGTGCGAAATGGCTAGGCGAGGGATTGAAGGAAGGGAGGCGAAGAGGGGCTATAGGAATGACCCTTTATGCACTGAAACAGGATAAGGGTTTGAACAGCACTCCTCTACTCAAACCTTGAGTGTAACCCCACCCCCATCCCCTCCATCCCGGACGACGACGGCGACGGCGACGACATGGAGAACGGCAAAAAATGATATGTTTATACTAACGAACAACAACTTTGACCGTGCATCATGCTATTTTGTACATTTCTTTGCTGTCGTTGAACCACTACGACATGAAACTTCCTAATTTCACGAGCCCGCTTTATGGAGTAAGTTAACAAAACACAAAAATTGTCGCTTTCTTTTTTTAAACTTAGATAACGATAGATACGGTCCCAAAGAAAATTTTTCCAAGATTTGTCAAAATTCAATGAAATTGAATAAGGTCCGTTAAGTATGAAATAGTGCAAATAGACTTTTAGGTGACTTTATCATTTTGTTGTCATCCAAAAATTTTGCTGCCATGGTAAGGTGACGTAACGACTTCTCCTCTCTGTAAGGCCCCGTCTCTACTAAGCCCCCCTCAAATGTGTTTGAACAAATAAGCCCCCCTCCCGGGGTGGGGGTTGGGGTTTTTAAAAGAGAATTTATGGTGTGTTATGCCTTCGAATAATTATATGAAGTAAATCATAATTTTAACTGCGGCTGAAACGATGAACGTGAAAGTGAACCTCACAGTTAATACAGGATGGATTCCATTTCCGGTCAAGCCTGATTTTTTCAGGTTCTTTTTAAACCGCTTACAGGTTTTTTATTCAACGGCGAGGAGCACATTCACTTTCAAAATATATGTTAATTAATAAAGCAAAGAAACAAATAAACAATACTAGCTGCCAGAACTGGCAACACGGAAACATCAACTACACCTTTTTTGACTGCCAAATAACTGATGTTAAAGCGGCCGCGATCATACTCCCTCCACCGCCAGTAGCCATCGGTCCCCCATCGAGGTTTTTGTAACACCTTGAGCTCGATATACAGAAAGGGTCCAGTGGTGTAGAATACACCATGATCAGGAGAATATGAACGACGATATGTTCCAAGAAGGCGAGATGTCGTTGGTGAATCTCCGTCGTAAAACGAAAGAGAATTTTCACTGCCTTCCAATGAAAAGGCGTTGATAACAACTTCAATTATGTAGCCAGACCCATTGAACAAGTTGCATTGAATTAACCAGGAGCAATTGCTGTCAGTTAGGAAGTAACGATATGGATAGTTGGGACTTAAGATTCTCCTTTGGTAGAACTTGGACGCGAATTCCACTGAGGTGTTAGTAGGACATGTCTCCCTCAGACTGATATCTGAAAATAAGATTATGAATAACATAACTGTATTCCATCAAGGGAGGATGAATGAAAATGAACATAGGAAAGAAGGGAAAAGATGAAGAGAATGAAACAGAATGACCAAAGAGTGGAGAACGAAAAAAGTCTCGTCAAGATCATTCAATTACTTTTCTCCTCAATGTCGACGCCTTCTAAGCAGATCTAATTTCCTATTAACGCGACGAGTTCACGTTACTCATAGGCTCAAATAATTGCAAAACGGGATGAATAAAACTGGCATGAATAAGCATTTTGAACAAATGGTAATAAGAAGACAGTTACAGATTTATCAATTAAGGCGGTCACCGACGTTAAGAATCTACGAAGATCAATACAACAAGATTAAACGGTCATGATTTTGAACATCAAGTGGAGATTAATTGGTTCAAATTCACTGATAATGTCATGATGCCTTTGAGATTTCGTTTATTTTTGTAATTAATTTGAATTTTTTCAAACGCAAAAAAAAATACTGACTTCAATTGCAATACAACCTTGTATAACCTTACACGTTTACCACGTGAAATTCCCACCCCCCTATTTGCAAGGAAAAATCGATCTCATAATCCTGAAAATGCTACAGACATTTTCCGGAGCAAAATTAATGTTATAGACACGATTCATACCAGCGGCTGTTTTATAAAATGAGCCATCGTTAGAGGAGTATACCGTGGGTACAAGTGGGCTGCAGCCTCATTCTTAGGTCCCCTTCACATGCGTCAACATGCGAGGGAAAAAGTGCTCTGGGGAAGAGGTTCAGCAGCAGAAATCGAGCCACGTATAAATAATATATTTACTTATGCCGGAACGTTTTGTACTTACCATGAGCGAATACAGCTGCAGTCCATATAGCCAAAGTTATACCTTAAAAATACCATGGTAACGAGAAAGTAACGTGAGTACCACTTAACTAAGACACGTTCTTTCTTGTCCTGTCCCACGTATGACGAAGCCCTAAGCTGGGACGCCTGCGTAGGAGGCTAAACTTACAGACACCTCAAACTTCTTTTGTGTTTATATATTCCAGCGTTTTTAATATTTGCCTTGTAAAAAAATCGAAAGAAAACCAACTAAAAAAGCAATGAAAACAAGCAAGACGTTACTCTGCGAGCAGAGGTTTCTCTCTCGCATGGCTTTTAGCGTTTACGAAGTCGTTCGCGTGGCTTGTCAGTCGCATAGTTGGCAATTAAGCCACGACTGACAAGCCTCGCGAACGACTTCGTTAACGCTAGAAGGCATGCAAGAGAGAACAAAACCTCTGCTCGCAGGATATTACTAAGGTATACATGGGTACAAGGGGTATTCAGTATAACTAGGGTATGCATGGGTAATAGGGGTATGCAAGTATTACTAGGGTATACATGGGTACAAGGGGTATGCAAGTATTACTAGGGTATGCATGGGTAAAACGGGTATGCAGTATTAATATATAGATTTAGCCAGGGCTAAAAGCGAGGCTCCCATTAGTAAATTTATAATTTAAATTAAACAATAAACTTGTATTCCAATTCCACAATTCAGTTAACTTTAGAGCACATTTATGTGACTTTTGAGGGAAAGGCTACCTGATTTTAGAGAAAAATAATTTGCAAACAGCCCAAGAGTGAACCAAATCTTACATCGAGTTGATAGCCTCATATGTACACTCAAAAACTGGTAATCATCTTTTATCACATTTAAGAGCCGTAATGGCTATTGATCACCGTAGATCAATTAGGCTTAGAAAAAAAAACCAGGCCAACGTTTTGGCGTTCGACAAGTTTACTTTGCAAAATCTTGCCAACAAATCTGGGTGCGTGTAAACCAACCTTTTATACCATGGACAGAAAGCAGTATTTCACAATACAAATTGCTCTCATTCAATTTTCATAAACTGTTAAAAAAATTTTCCAAAATCACCTATACGGCCATCCGGTTCTCACTTTTGTAGTGCGAGCTGTAGCGAATGTTTGAATGAACATTAACAGAGTTACGCTCCAAGATAATAAAGAATTTATCATGTTTATTTTTTATTTGATGGTTTAACGCGCGGCATTTTGAGAACTCCTGCAAGCGATGTTCACTGAACGACTGAAAACAATCGGAGCGATTAAAATTGCAAGAGAGACTACTAACAATCAATAAAAGAAATATAATTCGGTGAAACATAAACAGAGACAACAATTTTCATTCAGGAAGACAAGTATTAAAGTGTCCCTAAATATCCTGAATTTTCAAGCTTCAAGCTTAAGTTTGCTGAAGTTTATGTTTTAGCCAGCTTCCCGGTGTTTGTTTTTTTCAAAGACGAACTCGAGGCAAGAAAATCGCTCAAAGCTTTCTTTTCCGGCTAGAATTATAACTAAAGATTCTTTGGAACATTTTCTTTCTATTTGCGGTGAGAAACTGTCTAAAGGCTTTTTAAAGTTCTGTAAGATTATATCAAACCAGATACTCGGTGAGATCGTTGTCTCAAATCTTACAAACGCGCATAAATAGAGAATACTTCATGGAAAGTGCTGGCGTATGGTATTTACGCACGAGTTGTTGACGTATCAGAAATCGAACGAGTGAGCGCAGCGAACGAGTAAGATTTCTGATACAAAAACAACGAGTGCGTAAATACCGTACAAAGCACTTTCCATGTGGTATTGTGTTTATTATATACATACTGAGACATTCATCATTTTGGCGGCCTTTTTATTTTAAATCTTTCAAAAATGCTAAAATTTGCCGCTACACACTTACCGCAAAATGGTAACGAAAACAAAGTATCTGCTTTTTAGTAAAAACGTTTGTTAAAAACATAAATGACGGTGAGGATATGAAGTAATCCAAGAACTATAAGTAATCTTAACTGTTTGTTCTCAATGCACAATTGAAAATGAGTGAATTTAAGTAAAACGGCCGGTTTCAATATAAGCTTAAGCTTAAATGAAAGGCAAAGTAGCTCCGACAAAAAGCACAACAAAAGCTTACGTCTCGTTCTGTTTATCCCTTTCCGCTGTTGTTTCACCGGCTCTCTACCGTTTTCTTTATCAACAGTGGAACAAACGAAACTATTCCACTCCATTTCCGAAATGTTTTTCACTTTTTTAGCGAGAAAAACTCTTTGAGTAAAACTTTTCTCGTTGAATGTGTGCGAAGCGGCGCTGCAAGCTACAATAAAAGGCGGGAATTTTGGCGCGAAACTCGTACACCCCTGTGGCTTCTGATTGGACGTATCATTTTTCTCACACGTGAAAAAACATCGTTCGCGATTCTGATTGGACGTATCATTTTTTTCACGTGTGAAAACCATCGTTCGCTCCTCTGATTGGCTAGAACTAATTTGCGTACGAAAATTTACGACATAGCTTTTTGGTGAGTATTTCTCAGTATGTATATAATAAAATAATTTCTCTGGCTTACCATTCGAGATGCAGCTCCTGAAAGTTATCAGGTAAAGCCAGTATCGCTTCAGACTTTGCAATCCTCTTACGCATCAAGCAAGGTGAAAACGAAAACGATGCCATCCGAAATCGGATTTCCGACTTTGACAAGCGACGTTTTCTCAACCAAAAACCCAATAAACAAACTAGCCATGAGTAACAGAAGACTCCTGATAGCAGCTGAATTTCATTTTGTACATCCAGTGGAAAAAGACAGTTAAAAACATCACAAGTTGACACAAAACTCTGTCAGCTTCAGCTGTTAAAGTAAACAAGATTCAAGATGCTGCATAAATTTTGCGCATGAACTCACCTGTCAAATTTTGACCAATCAGAGCATAAAAATTGGACGTAGAGCGTGACCAACGCGTGACCATTGTGAGAAAAAACAAAAGCAACTGTCTTCCCTGCCTGTAACAGCTGGCTGAATTTTCACGTCCGAGGTCAGTTTGCAATCAAAATTTTAATTGTGCAGCACATAAACACAACATATTTCATATGAATTAAGAAAAAAAATACTTGACCTCGACGGGTCGACACCTGAGCCCGCGATACGGTCAAGTGATACTGGTCAGCGGGTACTCTGTTTTGACAGCTGTCAATTGATCAAAACATTGATGTCCAATATGTGTGCATTATCAGTTTTCCTGTGCTCCCAAACTAGTAAAAGTATGAGATTGAACGTTGTTCGCGATCTAGTAAAACAGTTAACTGGTCAGCGGACAGCTTCCAAATAAATCACGTCACCTCGATGAGTTGACACATGAGCCCGCGATATGGTCATGGGATACTGGTCAGTGGCTATCCTGTTTGGACAGCTGTCAATTGACCATATTGTTAATGTCCTATATTAAAGATGTGGACTTGCCAAGACACGCCTGAGACACCCCTCCCTTCCTTTTGATAGTCTCCCCTACCCCACCCGTACAATCTGTAGACGCGTACGTACGTACGTACGCTCGGTCAATCACGTGACAACCAAACGAAAAGAGGTTGACCATATTCCATGGGTATGGGGCTCTGTCCCACGCGCGCTTCGCGCGCGCGGGAGCCCCGCTACTAGGGTATGGAGATAATATTAGGGTGACTATGTTTAGACTACCATGAATTACTTGCCCAAGACGTCAAATACCAACACAACAACAATAAACCCGGTTCAACTATGGCGGTAATTGAACTTTAACCTTTTTCTTTGACGCCCTTTCGTCTGATTGGTTCATAGCAGTTTTTCTTTTTCTTCACACAATTTATGTTGAAGTGACATCTGAGCTTCCTCCCTTGGTGGCGGTTCCCATAATGTGAACGTACGCATACGAGGACGGTAGAAAGAAACGGACAGGGAAAACGTTTGTGTGGAACAAACGTGACAGACCTGTAATTTGCCTGTTTTGTCATGATCGTCACTTAAAATTACTGTTTCCTGGTCTTTGACAAAAGATCTGCTTTTCGCGTTCCACCCCCCCGATGCGATGCGATTCTCAAATCCCGCATTTATAAAATACATAGAGACGTCTGGGAACGAGTACTTAATTACCCCACAAGCCGAGAACCTGTTCAAGGGCAATCCAGGACAAGTGTGGAGCCGAGGGGAAGGGAAACTCCCTTGTATAGGTGAAACTAAAGGCACACTTTGTGAACGCTTTAAAGAACATAGACAGGCAACAAACAATCCACTCCACGCAAACGCCACAGCAGCAGTCCCTTCCCACTTTAATCAACGTGGCCACTCGATCTCAGCCATGGACCTTATTCCGCTGGAATTACAACACACCCTCAGCATGGAATGTTTTTACGTGGATTTACTGTGTCCTCTTATCAGCGGCCGTTGTAATGGCAGAGTTAATGACGGCTACTCCACAATGAGTGATGGAATCTTTGATGGAATCTTCCCTATAGTTCACAGAACCTTTTTACTGAGTTATTTTAGAGGTTGCTGGCTCTTGGATTTTTCTTGTGCTCAAAGTATGTGGACATATAATGAAGCGGCTATCGAGTTGGCGGCGGTCGTTTTTGGTAAACGATTACAAGAGCATCAGGATATGAGTTTCGTGACCAAACTAAACTCCTGGCGAAGGAAACATTATAAAATTCGGCTAGATTCCTTCTTGTATTTATCTGGATTCACGGCAAGGATAAACACGACCATTTGCTCGTCCAGATTGTTCTCAACGGACTTAGAGAGGCACCTTAGTACGAGTTAGATCCTGTAAATGCCATGTTTTTGAACTGTTTGTGTTCGAGCATATTTTTGGAAAATAGCAGAGTTTACTTTCCCTTTTTATCAACGGACTGCTTATAGTGGAGTGGTATACCAATGATGCTTGGTTCTGTTTTTCTCGACGTCGCAGTGATTCGGCACGATCGAACAATTTTGCGCGATAATGTATGTTTCCCTAAGATCAAAACAAAGACTTGATGTCTCTTGTTCTATCAGCATCTAAATCATAAAATCACTAGCGACAGACAAGTCTAATTGTTAATGAGTTGAAACAGTCTCGGTCTTTATCTTCGGTCTAGCGTCTTTTGTAGCTCGTTTGTAAAATACAACTTCGATTTATTTTGTTGAATAAGACAATTACCCTGGTCCCAGAGGTTTTTCTTGATTTTTGTTCGCGAAAGAGATCAAGAGCAAGCCGCGAAGCGGCGACAACGAGTCGCGAAAGCGACGAGGAGAGAGAGAAAAACCTGGTTACCTTGGCCTCGAATCTCACTTTCATGCAGACGACAGCTGTCAAACGCGTCAAATTGCTATTAAAAAGAGTGACCAATGGCAATTTAGCAAACACGTGCTTATCAGCCGCTATTTTTTCAAGTAGGGGTAGACCCGGGGAAATTATGTTATGAACAAACCATCTCCACTTGGGTGGTAAAGAGTGATCTGTTAATCGGGGTCAAGAGCTAAAACATGTGTTAACGATGGGCGACAAGAGTCCAGAAATAGGAACACCACTTTATAAAGAAACCAACATGGTTCCAAACGACTGCTGCAGGATTTGCAGAATTTATGTAAAAATAAGTGGCCGATCTAAAATCAACGTTTTTTGGGTATAATAACAAGGATTTTTCACAAACATTGTCATCTGTTCTGTCGGCTGTGTACATGACTCAACGGGATTATTTGTCAGAAGTGCCATTGGGAAGTTGTAAAGTGAAGAGTCTATCAATCGCGCTTATTATTGTTTACTTCTGCGGGGCGCGCCGTTCGCGTCGATTCGCGGGTATTCACCCAAAATAGTAATATTAATATGTATTCTGGCAATCGGGCTCGCATTTTGGTTTGGCGGCTCCATTTCCTTTTTTTGTGGAAAAACGGCGCTAGGAAGAGTCATGCAGCACGACAAACCCTTAAGGTTCGGAATGTACTTTCAGAGGTTCATTGTTGACCCAGTGCTAAAAATAACGTTGGTTAGATCTTTAACGAGAAATATTGGGCGTCGCAGGAAAATGCAAGCTGCACCGAAAATGATTACGTACTTGTACAAAGTTGTATGTTTTTTTTGCTACAAGGAAACTTTCATTCCGTATTCGGAGATTTATATTTTGCTGCCCAAAACAAGTTAATTTATAGACTCTGGTCGTCGACGTCTGGACTGCTCAAACTGGTTGCTGAGACGCCACGGATTCGCAGTTCGCGGATATGCGAGTCCACAAGAGACTTGAGAGGACAGACAACCAAAATTATTGCATGGCGAGGGTATGAGTAGTAAAGGTACTTGCAAACATCAGGTAACGACTGAAATATTATATACTTTCCATGTCCGGTTGATAAAATGGTGAACACATCCTTTCGACTCAACGCGGCGAACAAGGCTTTCTTTTGTTGCTCGGTGAGACTCAGGAAAGCGCTCATCAAGTATCGAAGTCAAAATTTCTTCGAATATTCTTTCAGGAACAACAACCGTGTCAAAATCTCGAAATATGGCGTGCCTTTACGTGCCTTGGTCCCGTGCAAATGTTATTGCGAGTGCAGGATACAAACAATTTTCTTCCCTGGTAGAGAGAGGCAAAACGAGGTGTGAAAATCCTCAGCGTCCCCTCGGTAGTTACAATTAAACGAGCCAATCAAATTGGTTTGCGTGTTTGAAAAAAATATCAACCAATCAACGCCCGAGGCCAAGGTAACCAGAGGTTTTTCTCACTCTCCTCGTTGCTTTCGCGGCTTGCTCTTGATCTCTTTCGCGAAGAAAAATCAAGAAAAACCTCTGGGACCAGGGTATAAGACAATGCTGTTGTTGAATTTTTGTTTGCGCACTATTTTATGAATGGCATGCGTTTTTACCCGAAAACTACAAGTAAAATTGTCGTCACAATTTTATTCTTGATCTAGCATAACCATCCTCGGAGACCCAGGGGCAGATAGTGGGGGCGAGGGAAAGTCTAAACAGGCGGGAAAATATGGCACAAGAGAAAAGTAAAGAACGGTGAGAAGAGCCCCTGGGGACAATGTCTTACCAGACCAGTTCCAAACGGTCGACGCCGTTCTGTCTTCTGATTGGTGCCAGAAAAACACAAGTTTTCTGGCACCAATCAGAAGACAGAACGGTGGCGACCGTTTGGAACTGGTCTGGTAAGACATTGCCCCCAGGGGCTCTTCTCGCCGTTCTTTTCTTTTCTTCGTGTCATATTTTTCCGCCCGTTTAGACTTTCCCTTGCCCCCACTATCTGCCCCTGGGTCTCCGAGGACGTAGCATAACCAGAGAAGAAACGTTCCGTAAATTCTATCGAATTTTCCCTTATCTAAACCCATTTCGCTTGTTAACCTCTCTAAATTCGGAGCCTTGGACGTGACAGAGAAAATGGAGAAAGTCACGCGTTAAAAACAATAGAATTTTGACAGTTGAAAGTAATTTGCATAACCTCAGAGCGCACATGGAGAAAGTCACGCGTTAAAAACAATAGAATTTTGACAGTTGGAAGTAATTTGCATAACCTCAGAGCGCATGCTCTCCAGCTGACATAGCCCCTATAAGGCAAGAGAAGCTTACCTCATAGATAGAGGTAAAACCCTGTCACCAGACGTTCTGAACCGAAAGAATGAACACTGAACTGGTTCGATTTCTATTGTATAATCATTTACCTGTATATTATTCTATCTAGTATTTATGATTGTAGTAAATTATTAACCACTTATGTGAATTTTAAATTCAATTTTTTGGAGCCGTTAAAAGATATTTTCCCTCAGTATAGTTCTGGCCCTGAGGAAGGCTAATTTTGTTAGCCGAAATATATGCTTATAATAAATCAGCCCTTTGCCGTAGTGCCAGCCCTGCATTCAGTTTTGGTTTCCCCTATTTTCATACTGTAGTTTTGTGCCGCCCCAAAGGGTATGGGTTTTGTTCCGATTGCGAAAATCGTCACAAAATAATAAAAGTGATATATTTCTGGAAGTTAGCCTATAAATTTTGCTAGTTTCTTTTCAAAAGCGGATCTTGTCTGTTTGCCGTGAGCACTTGCTAACTCACGGAGAAACTAGTGGACACTCAGAGTTTAGTGTAAGACCCAGGTCTTTCCCCTTCTCAGAACAAACGTGGGCCACGCGCAGGTATGTTCTGTGAAAGGAATTATTGCTTTTGCTTTGTAATCATCTTCAACTTTAAAAACCCTTCAAGCCCCAATATCCACATACAAATTCTCCAAACTGCTCTTCATACATTTCCTTTAAGAATTAGTTGAGAGAGTTTGATAACAGATCAAAGTATTTTCTCTTTAGTGATCATTGTATTAACTCTCATAACCATTTCTCTTGGCAACATATGGATATTGTTAAGAAAAAAATTATGTTGGTCACCATGGGGACCTAAAGGGTTAAAGGATTTTGAATATAGCATGAAGTAAATGTCGGTCATGGGTTGTAATTTCAGACTTTGCAGCGCATCTTCATCTAAGTTACGGGCGCCATGACTATTCAGGGTTTGGCCGTACAGTAAAGCACCAAACGCGACCAGTTTGACTCCCAAATACATATGTTATAAGTCATTTATAATACAGAAGTTACGTGTAATAAAGTGGCTAAAGCCGTTAAACAGTGCTCAATACACTTTTTAAGTGTAGAGCTTTGAATAAGAAGATATAACGAAGAGACAAAATTCTCTGTTACTCCGAGTTTCGTGCTCACGCACTCATCAGACAGTATTTAAATACTGTCTGATGAGTGCGTGAGCACGAAACTCGGAGTAACAGAGAATTTTGTCTCTTCGTTATATCTTCTTAATACAGAAGTTACAAGTGGTTATTTCATCTCGAATTTATCGATTCAACGGTAGGCTCCGAATTCTGGCAATAGGAATAACTGCTGAAAAAAGAAATCAAAATAGCTTACCTAAAACATTTATCCCCGTGGTTGCCATTTATGATTTTGCTTGAGACGATCAATGTAACTTTCTTCAGCCGTACCTCAGTATGTCTGGAGAGTAAGCCCTCTTGTCGTGACGTCACGGACCACAAGGGTAGAGGTCGAGGAAAGTTTTGCATAAAACTACGTAATTGATTCACTTCACTGCGACACAAGACGACATTTAGTCTTAAAAGCCAACACAATTGTATGTATTTTCTGAAGATAATGAAGCAAAAGAAACAGAATCTCGGTTTTCTGAATTAATTCTTCGTTATAACAAATGGTACGTGACGCTGTATAAAACGTGCTCACGTAACAATTCCTTGCGCAATACTGCTAGTCAACCAGTTCCTCGCTGTTGATATGACGTCATGTTGCAGAGCATGAGGAGGAAACGAAAAACTAAAAAGCCCATTTCCGAGTTGTTCTTAACCTCTTTATTAAAGAAGCTTTGTCGCGAGTTTAAACAAAATTTAAACAAAGTTCTAACACTGAGAAGGAATTGCTACCAAACTGATTTGCCAAATAAATGATTGTCTTAGATGATGATTGTCGGTTTGTGGCCTGTTTTGACGTGCTGACTTGCGATGGAATCCTTTCGTCCTGTCATGACTTTCAAATCCACACTTCTTACTCGAGTTGATTTGAGAATGGTTTACGTGATGCATAATTACTTTAATTTGAAATCTTTTTGCATGCTTTCTGTGGAACCAAATAAAGCAATTTCTTAAATACGATTTTTTAAACTCACCCGCATCACTTTTGAAATCACTTTTTTGCATGCTTACTTGCGAAGGATTATTCGATAATCAATTTCGTAAATACGTGTTTTTTTTAAACCATCATTACTTTTAAAATCTCTTTGCATTCTTACTAAGAGCGGCTTTCCGTAAATATCGACCCACGGTCGGCACAAGTTCAAAATTTGATTTCGCTCATTTTTGGCTCATCGATAACCTTTAATGAGTAATGAAACATGCTATAGTTAGTTTTCCCAAATAACGTGTTCTTTTGTGAAAATTCGTGAAAACTCATTTCGCCCGTTCGGAGCTCAACACAGTATCCACTTCCGGTAAAGCGAAATTTTACACAAATTTCATTGACTCGTACGTCAAACCACAACGATTTGGCAGCCTTTGAAAAACACGACTAGTTTTTATGACACTTTCTTTCTTATAAGACGATAAATTTGTGAAAGCCGTTAAAATTTTGTGGCCAAAAAGGTATTGTTAAAAATAGGCCCTATTGACAATTCTTGCCGTCCAAAATTATGGGGATAAAATAATGCAAATTTTTACAATGCGCTATAACTTAAAATTTCGCAAATTGACTCTCTACCGGTTGACTAGGCCCCAATCTATCAGAAAATCGAAACAAATCTCTGGGCAAACGATTTAAAGTAGCCCGCAAGACCTCGAGTTCAACCCTAATTTTGCGAAAAATCGCTACATTTCAGTGGTTAGAAATAGCGTTACACGGCCCGTCACGCCAGCGGTGTTAACGACAGATACATAAGCTTTATTACCAAATAAAAGTTAACTTAATTTACAATACAATATATTAATACAAAAAAGGTAACATTTACTCAGAATAACTGAAAAGCTAATCGAGCTGAGTAAAGCTAAATAATGTTCAGGCATAGGAGGTAGGTTGGCACTAAAGCTGGAACAAACAAGGAATTACTAAATAGATAAAAGGAAAAAAATGAAAAAGAAAAAAAAAAGAAAGAGGAGAAAAAAATATATATATATAAATACAATTAAAGACTCACGAACAGTAAGACTGTAAGATGTTTAACATGACTTTGTTTTTAAAGGATTTAAGGGGAAGGTGTTTAATGCTTTCATCAAGGTTATTCCAAACTTTTACAGCCGCAAAGCGAAAGTTGAATTTACCATAGTTTGTTTTGATAGTATTGAGGTAATAGGTTGATTTAGAAGCAAGCCTGGTATTGTATGAGTGTATGGATGCTACCGTTTTAAAGAAATTTTCAAAGGAAGATGGAAGAAGATTACGATGATAGTTATACATGAGGAGTAAAGAGAAATTCAACGTTGATCACGTGCCAAATTCCAGCATACAATCTATATTACATCTTTCAATACACTTATCTTATTTAGAAGAGTCATTTTGTTTGGATACAATATCTAGTGGAGAATTGCCCAAAAGTCGCCTTTTTTGAGCGACGTAGGCCAGACTTCGACGACCTAGCCCAACGAAAACAGACTTTAAACTGTACAGCGGTGTGTTTTACTAATTTAAGCACCGTCGCAAGGCATAAATACGTTAAATTTAAGACGCGGACAACCAATATTAACTAATTAGAACACTTTCTTTTTTCTCGCGAGTTTTCTCTTTCAAGTAATTATGTATAAGTATACATGTACGTTTCGATGTATTACTATCACGCTTATAAAGGTACTTTGTAAGGAACGTTCCAGAAAATATTTTAACTCGTTTCGATCGACGATAAAACACCATCATAAAAAACAAATCGCCAAGAGCTTTCCCCTACAGCAAAACGGAAAATAGAAAAAAAGTGGCGTTTTACACATGCTAAAGCAGGAATAGTTGCAGCGTGAGTACGAGCTTTTAAAATGTCAAATACTCCTAAATGGACATCTATAGCTAGATCACTTGCATCGGCACTGGAAAAAACTTTCTGGCCCACTATGAACTAGGCTGTTCCAAGGGGGACAGTGTCGCGAAATGGGGAACGGAGGAAAACAAACGTTGAAGAGAGTAAGAGGGAGAGAGTAGGAGGATCTTTCGCACTCTCTCCCTAACCCCGCCCCTTCGCCATTTTTTCTAGCTCACTTTTTCTTTGCTTTTTCCCAACTATTTGAAGGCCTGTTACAGGTTAAATACGTGCATTCCTTCATTTCCAACTTTTTATGGTATATATTCAACTTGAGCGTTGAGCACTTTTGGCGCTTTGTTATTGATCAGTAGGAACGGATTTGGTAGTACTAACTTTTCAACTGCTTTTAATTAGACGGCGTAACTGTCTTTTTTTTCTTTCTTGTTTTCTTCCTTTTATTTTTCTTTGCCTTTTCTGTCGTATTTTTTTAGACGTATTTTTCGCTTCCGCCTCCCCAGTCTAACTCAATCTCTTCCCACTCAATCTCTGCTTTACGTAAGCACCGTGTAGATCTCCGGAAGAATTGTTTGCAGCCAGCCCTCAAAACCCAGGGACTACGTCTGCCGCTGGTCAATATTTAGGAAGGCGCCATTCCAAAGGACTGCTCTAGAAAAAACTATTTTTCTTAACATTTGTCTGTGGTAGAAGAATAGCGAGTTTGCTGTTGGTGTCTCTTAAAAAGTAATTAGAGGTATTGCAACGATCTACTACGCACTTAACAAGGCCTCAAGGTACTTAAGATATATTACGCATAGTCTTCGATACACCCGCCTCTCACCGCTCTTTGAAGAAATGTCCTTAGCGGCAGATTGCGATGAGAGGAAGCTGTATCGCAGGCTTTTCTACTTTTTTACATATAGGCTCCTCTTTGGCATCCACGTAGCTATTTTTTCAGTTTTGAGAGCCCGACAGGGTAAAAACTTCGAAAAGAAACTATAATCATGATAATTGCACTAATACTTAGTCGAAAATTTTTAATTGCTTCAAGGAAATTAGTTTTTATAAACCAAATGGCATTGTTTGGGATGATTTAATTCGTAAATATCCCGCAATGCAAAAATTCATTCAGTAAACAGTTTTAGTTTTTACATTTTTTTTTCTGTTTATATACCATTTTTGAGGGTAATCTCCAGTCTGAAACTGAACATGAAAGTGTGTGACGCTATCCCGGGGACGCTATTTGTTGTATCTGAAGAAAATGCTACAATCAATGAGAAGAATAGGTTTACTAAAAGATTTGATTTCGAATGGCTTTTAGTCTGCCTTTTAATAAGTAAATTGTTTAAAGCGTATCTATCGGTAACACTGGCGTGACGGGCCGTGTAACGCTATTTCTGAACCGCTGGAATGTCGCGACTTTTCGCAATATTAGGGTATAACTCGTGGTCTTGCAGGCTACTTAAAATCGTTTGGCCAGAGATTTGTTTCGATTTTCTGATAGATTGGGGGCCTAGTCTAGCCGTAGAGAGTCAATTTGCGAAAGTTATAGCGCATTGTAAAAAATTTACATTATTTTATCCCTATAATTTTGAACGGCAAAAATTGTCAATATGGCCTATTTTTAACAATACCTTTTTGGCCACAAAATTTTAACAGCTTTCACAAATTTATCGTCTTATAAGAAAGAAAGTGTCATAAAAACTAGTCGTGTTTTTCAAAGGCTGCCAAGATCGTTGTGGTTTGACGTACGAGTCAATGAAATTTGTGTAAAATTTCGCTTTACCGGAAGTGGATTTTGAGCTGCGAACGGGCAAAATGAGTTTTCTCGAATTTTAACAAAAGAACACGTTATTTGGGAAAACTAACTACAACATGTTTCATTACTCATTAAGGGTTATCGATGAGCCAAAAATGAGCGAAATCCGAATTTTGAACAAGTTGTGCCACAAAAAGTCGATTTTGGTCGGTATTTACAGATAGTCGCTCTTAAGAATTACGTAGCAGTAGGATTATTTTATGATGAAAACATATGAAACAATTTCTTAAATACAATTTTTTTCAAATCGTCATTACTTTTGAAATCCGTTTGCATGCTTACTTGCAAAATACGTAACGGGAGGATTATTTGATAAAAGAAACGAAGGATCCTTTTTTACATGGGGATTTCGACTTTATGGATACGTTTACCCGCGTCACTGTCGAAAACGCGCTATTGTGCTTCACTGCACCCAACACGAAACGCGACTCAGTGTCTCCCAAAATGACTTGCGAACTTCTACATGAGAAAGGCCCGAAAAGAGTCTGGAAACTCCTCCCCAGTGTCTTGGGGTCATCGATCAAAAATGGCCGCTCGTCGTCCTTGATCATTTTTCTGAGAAATGAACTTGACACCTGAGCAATCGCATTTCTTTCAAAACCTTCTTCTACACCTAATAGATCTGATCTAATAGATTGGAACAGGATGTTAACATCTGTAAACCTGAAGAAGACTGGTATGGCCTGCCGAAATAT